TCCCTGAACACTATGCTGTGCTCTAATTATAGGACAGGAAACACCAATATGTGATAAAATAGTGTAAGGTATAAAACTAATGTTACTAATTTCAAATCATACACTAATCTATATGTTAATACCAGATGCAAGCGAAAGTAGTAGCAATAAGGCATGATATGTGAGATATATTAAATATAAGTCTCATGTACAACATAGAATATCTAAAATGTTAAAATTTTGTGTATTTTACAAATCAAAATTGTACAGTCCAGGATCGATATGAGAATATGGGTAAACTAGAGAATACAGCAGAAGAAACTTTTGTGTCTCGGGGCTGCTGTCTGAAAACCAGTATGTAATGTTATCACCTCCTCAAATGCTCCTTCTCTAAGTTGAAAATGGAGAACAATCCCTCAATACCAAGAGACCAGGGATGTTTTCAGGGGAAAACAGTTATTGCTTCTGTTAAGCATTCATGCATTAAGAATTAGAGAGGCCGGGTGTGGTGGCTCATGCCTGTAATCCTAGCACTCTGGGAGGCCAAGGCGGGTGGATCGCTTGAGCTCAGGAGTTTGATACCAGCCTGAGCAAGAGCAAGACCCCGTCTCTACTAAAAATAGAAAGAAATTAGCAAACAACTAAAAATAGAAAAAATTAGCCAGGCATGGAGGTGCCTGCCTGTAATCCCAGCTACCCAGGAGGCTGAGGCAGGAGGATCGCTTGAGCCCAGGAGTTTGAGGTTGCTGTGAGCTAGGCTGACGCCACGGCACTCTAGCCTGGGCAAGAGAGAGTGAGACCCTATCTCAAAAAAAAAAAAAAAAGAATTAGAGAGAACATTTCTGTTCTAGCAATTGCCACTTGGATACACGATGTCTGCACAGGTTAGGTGACTCCTGTGGATTTATCACTTCTCTTTACAAGCATGATGTTCTGATAGTGCCCTGTTAGTAATTCTGAAAATCCAGTCTATAATTCTGCTAGGACGGAGTGAACAGCACATTAATTTTGAAACTAACGTCCTTAAGCACATTACAAATCAGGTTTCACTGCCACTTGTGTCTAACACAAACAGTGTCCTTTTGGATCACACTACATTATATTCTGTGACATCAGGGATTAATGTGGGGTCTAGAGCCTCATCTCTCTCCTAGCATAGCTCAGGCCTCACAATTATTCCTTCTTTGGGCAGCTGTGGCCACAGACTAAGTTCCCACCCCGATGCTTCCCTTTTTCTCAATTGTCATTTGCGCAAGCTCTCATCTTGCATCCTTCCTGGCAGACTCTGCGTCTCAGACTGAAATAGAAAATGCTCACCTGGCTCCTCCGACTGCCAGGACTGCAGGCGCAGTGGCGGTCGCAGCGAGCAGGACTTGCGTGGGAGGAAGGGCGGATGCCAGACCCTGAAATACGGGTTGGTGACTGTGTGACCTCACCTTCCCTTGGGAGGGTAGTTATCTTTTCACCTGTAGCTGCGATGAGAGGACAGGCTTGGGGAAGTGAGGATATTTGTGAAAAACTTTTTTTTATCAGTTGTTAATTACTCAAAACCAATTATAAGTTTGCAGTGATCATCTCCAAAGAAACTGTTGTTGTGTTGGGGCTCTTTCATTTCCTTGCTCCCAGGGGGCAGAGAGGGTCTCGCATTGAAGGAATAGCTGATACTGAGGTCTGAAACTTGAGGGACGGGCTCAGGCACGTGTGTCTCACTGAATTTTCTGCTCCCTGAGAAGTTCTTCTACTGCTCAAAAGTGAGATTTTTCCTAATCTTCAGACCACTGAGCTGGTCCAGTATTTAAGTTTTGAGAAGAGAATCGAAACAAATCACCTGAGAAGATTCTCAAAGAGTAAAATAAACAAGAGAAGAAAATGATAATAATTTTTATTTAGAAATTATTGGTCTTTCGTACAACTAGATCCCAATTAATTTGGAAGTGTAGGTGATACGGAATTTTCCTAGATAAATGTATATATGAATAATGACATTTCCCCCATTACCAGTAGGGGCATGATGTCTTAACAGAACAATATTCACGGAATATAATAATTTGTTAGTATTTTTTACAAGTAAAAGTGCTGGGATCAAAAGGTTCAACACTCAGCTTTTACAATTTTTTAAAAACTATCAGATAAGTCAATATTACTTCCTTAATTCAAAGAATTCAGTGGTTATCTTGAAACTCAAGACTATGTTTTCCTGAATTTTCAGTAATTAGTCTCATTTGCTCTTATAATTAATTAATACAATACGAGATCAAATTAGTCCTTCGGTGTTTCCTTAAACAAATCCAATATTTGATCCTGGGCCAATACTATTCATTGTCCTCCAATTTACTAAACAGAGATAGAGCCGTAATGGTGGACAACCCCTACCATACACACATAGACAGCTCCCGGACAGATGCCTGCCGCACACTCAAATATAGTCGCATACGCTCACGCACATAACCACATGGGCACTCAAGACGCCTTGCATAACAAAGTCACTCTCACATCATACCCAGTAAGACACACTCACATAAACTCACACAGCCCCGCCTACATTTAGAAAGCCTTCATTCCCTCCTTCCCCAGGTGTAGCAGTTGCTTAGGATAGGATTAAGGGTGGGACAACACCGCCCTTATCCTTCTTCCCAGGTGGGGCAATTGCTCGAGACAGCACCAAAGCAGGGCACCCTTTTCTCAGGAAGAGCCGGAGATCCTAACTATCTAACATCTTCACACTGAATAAATCCTTTGTCTTCAATAAATAAATAAACACAATGTTTGTTTTTAATAAATATATTTACATGTATAAATAAATAAAAATTTTAAAATATAGAAAAGGGGCATAAATATCCCCTTTCAAACTTTTTCTCTTCAGATTTGTCAAACTGACCTGGCTGCACAGATGAGGGAAAGAACAGCAAGAGGGTGGAAATAACACGCCACAGACAGACACAGTTCATACCAGCTCAGGCCCGGAATTCACGATTTCTTTATGAGATTTTCTTCAACTTGTCTCTCAATTACCTGCCTCAAAAACATGTAAAACACCAAGTAAAACCACAGATATCTGGATCCAACTGAATGAGAATGTTTTTGTGGAACCTGAAATTTGCTTTTATCAAACCTTAAGGGGTGATCGCTGGTCTCACGATTCCAAATGCTCTAGGGATTCTCCAACTTGCTGAGCGGGGCTGGGGACAAGGAGCTAAGAAGACGCACTGGGACCCTGAAGCTTGTGGGTCTTCTGTCATGTTGTCATATTGCATCCCTCAGTGGGTGTGCTTGGTGTTTAATTTCTGTGTCAAATGAACCTCTTTCCTTTGACACAGGAAATTGGGTAGCCCAAGGTTGAAAAAAATGGCTCTTGTGTAACATGTGTTTAAAATCACCACATTAAAGGACACAAGTAGCTGAAGCTGATTTTCTTTACTGCCCTTGATCTTTTCATGGGTTTGGGGCCTCAACCAGGAGGCAGCCTGGAGACTTCCACCCCATTGTGTTTTAGGGACAAGGTCCTGGAGAGACAGCAAATCTCTCCGAGACAGAACCTCCTGGGGAAAAAGGGGACATGTGCTTTGTTCCTTTCAGTGAAACCCCACTCTCTAGAGAGCCAGATGCTTTCTCTTGACTCATGGCAGTGTTTCCTTCCAAGAGGAAAAAGGGAGAAGGTGAAGCATCATCCTTGTCCTCTCCCTCCAGTGTCTCTGAACCTTCACCACAAGTTTGAAATAACTGCAGGGGGTTTAACAATCACTGTATCCAGGCCTCAACAGGCCTTAATAAATTAATATCTCTGGGGGTAGGACCCAATCATGAATAGTTTTTAAAGTTCCCCAGGTGATACCAATGAGTAGCCAATCGAGAATCCATCTATTTTCGTGCTTATCACATTCTACCCAAAATATGAAACACGTGGGGCTCCTATTTAACCGCAGATACTGATTCAGTAGGGGTGGTTTGTGCCCAAGCATTTGTATTTCTTACAACCTACAGTCTGTGGATGACACTGTATGTGACCAGGTCCTCTTTACTCAAGTAAGTAAAAATTGATGATTGAAAATGAAGGAAATTGGCCTGAGGTGATAGGGAAAAAATCAACACACCTAGAAGCATGTTAGATAAAGTTCAGAGAATTTTATTAATATTGGAAAACATTAACCAAACATAATTTTACAGTGACCTTTAATAACAAAATGTACAAGGTTAAAAGAAATAATTGAAATTTCATTTATAATTGAGGTTAGCCAATTGTTCCCTTTGGTGTGATAATAACAGTAACATGGTTAGTACTTATCATATGTCATTGATTATTTAAGTGCTTTACATAATTCATTTAATCCCCTAAATAACTCCAGTGTTGATAACACTGGTATCCCCACCTAGATGAGCTCATTGAGACATTCTATCACAGTGGAAATCAGTGTTAAATTAGCTTTATAAAGTCAATTGAGTAATTCCCTTTTAAAGTCTTCTGGAACCATTCACAGGGTATGGTGATAAACCGTTTCTTAAATATTTAATGAACTCATCAATAACACCAAATTCCTCCAGGAAAAAAATATTCCCCATTTCCCCAAGGCTAAGGGAGTTTCCCGCTAAAATGCTCCTTCAGAATCAAAACCTCCAGACCCAGGAAAGCGCACTGTTTAAAAGACAGACCTTTCCACAGCCATAGCTCAGCCTAGAGCTACCCAAATTTTAGTCATTTGCTCATTCTCACAGATGAATTTCATACCTTTCTATTGACATTATAGCCTAATATCATTTCCTTATGTTGACTCAGTTTCTCGCATAATTGTATCTAATTTACAAAGGATTCCTGCGACGGTCTCCTAAGCTCCGTTTTGCATACGATTGAAATTCACACGATTTCCATAGGCGGTGTCTGCCACCATCCCCGGTGCGTCCGGGCCCCACCGTCTGCGCTCGCACCGCAGGCGACTGCTCCCGGCCTCTGCCCCTCCGCAGGCCCCCAGCCACGTGCAGGTCGGGTGGGCTTGAGGCCACGACTTCTCTGCCTTGGGGCGGGGCTCTCACTCTCCGTCACTGTCCTCGGAGGAGGAAGAAACCAGAAGGTCCTCATACAGGACGCTCCTCGGGACCCCGGGACCCCGACGCTCAGACACGGCTGAAACGCGAGGGCTCCGAGCGGCGCGGGCGGCCCTCCCCGGAGCGCGCGATCTGGGAGCGGTTCCGAGCGCGGAGCTCTGCAGCCCCTCGTCGCATCGCGGGGAGGCGGCTCGGCTGGGCTGGCCTGGACCGTGACTGGACGGGTGAGGCTGGGGGACGGGGTCCTGGGCGGGGCTCAGGAGAGCAGAGACGGGCAGGGGCTGGAGGAAGGCCCCGGGCTGCAGGGCTGCTTCCTTCGCGGGTGCCGTCTTCGCAGTCACCTTGGGTGCCTGGCTGGGTCCAAGTCCGCTTGTCCTGCGAGGAGGCTGGAGGGCCTGGACAGTCCCCGGGTCAGGACGACGAGTTCCCAGCTGGGGAGTGGGGAAGGAGCTGAGCCGGGCTTTCTTCTGGGGGTTTGGGTACGTCTGGTTGGGGACCGGGACAGGCCTCTTTCCCCACTCCCGGATTCTCCGTGTGGAGTCCTGGCCACGCTCTTGTCTGACCGGCTGTGGCCTGGGCTTTGAATCCGCATCAGGACGTTTGATTCGTGCCTGGGGCTTAAAGACGGGACCTGGGGCAAGAGCCTTCACGGAAGGCTGGAGAACAGTGTGGGAGAAAACCTCAGGCACGTGGGCTGCCTGCCTGGCACTGAGCCAGGGACACGTGGGGGAGCTTGGTCCCGTGGGGTCCTGGGAGCAGCGCTTTAAAGCAGGGTGGGGGGAGTCAGTGAATCCCCTCTCATGTCCTTTGGTTGGTCCAGAGGTGCTCAGTTCAGGTCTTTTGTTGTGACACGAAGGGAAGAATGATCTCGACTCAGGTGTCTTCACAGGTGGCCGACGTTTGGGAACAGAGTTCGGGGCAGGTCTTTTCTTGGTGGTTTGCACAGGCGGGGGCATGGTAGGTTGCTGTGGGAGAAGAAATTGCACGTTAGACACCTCAGGAGTCAGAATGCTCACACTGTACAAAGCACAGAGCTCACATATTCAACCATATTGAAACAGAGGCTGGGCGTGGCGGCTCACACCTGTAATCCCAACACTTTGGGAGGCTGAGGCAGGAGGATAGCTTGAGCCTAGGAGTTTGTGATCAGTCTGGGCAACACAATAAGAACCCTGTTTATAAAAACAACAACAAAAAAACCCCCAAAACCAACAAACAAAAAAGGAAACTGTTGGAACGTAATAAGCAGGTTAGGACAAAGGACAAATGGCAGGTTAATATAATAAAAAAGAGAAAAATAACAAATGCATCAGTATTTCTGCTAACTCAGGACCCAAAACAGGGACAGCTCAATATAAAGAGATAGTAAATGTAAAATTTAAATTTCTAAAAAAAAAAAAAAGACCTATAAATGGCCGTTGAACATTTGCAGAACTTCCCACAGCAGGAATGAGTAGGGGGGGAAATACAGGAGCAATACGATTTTTAGTCTATCAGATATGACAATTAAAATTTCTTTGTATCGTCTGTTGTTTAGATCAAGGGAATGCAGCATTTCCCTACAAATGTGGAAAGTGTAAATAGCACATGTCCTTTTGAAGGGCAATTTGGGAGTATGTATAAAAATTTAACAGACGCCTTGACTGCATATAGCATTGCAGAAGGTATCTGCTAAAAAACACTTCCTACATGCACAGAAAGGCCTCCACTAGCATGTGCTGGCCAACATGCAAATAATAGCACAAAAACAAATATTCAAGTAAAGAGGTTGGCAACTGGAATGTGGAAAGTACACAAATAAAACAGTTCTCCTGTAGGGCAGCCTGGGCCTTTTAATTCCTGTATATGAGGGATGCAGAAGTGAAGCAAATCAGGGGGCCCAGAAGAGAAACAGCAGGGAAGAGGGGTTGAGACCTACCCTCAGATAGGGACAAGGTTCTGCCAGTTCCTCCCAGTCCCGTTGCATCGCCTCTTGGGGCCTCCTGGGGAATGTCCCTGGTGCAGCTCGTCTTTGCTGTTCTTGCCTGCAGAACAGATCTCGTTAACTGTCTGGATGTGGCTGACCTTCCTGCCCACACTCGTGCCTGGGAACCAAGCACAATCCTGGAGCCCAGTCCTAGCCCTAGTTTTGAGCGAGGGAGGCATTCGGGCCCCTCAGAACTTTGCGAAGGCCCCCCCGTCCCTTTTCTCAGAGGCAGCCCCCGCTGCCAGGAAGCTCCCCCACGTGTCCCTGGCTCAAGCATCATACACTGTCATGTAGACGCTTTGCTGCTCTGCCTGCTATGTGAAACTTCCCAAGGAATTCCACGGCCTCCCCTTTCGGGATTCTCAGCACTAGAGGGAGCTGAGTGTGGCCCTGGGGGTCAGAAAGCTCCCATCTCCTTCTCTTTGGAGTTTTCCTGTCTGTGCCTAGAGATGGCTGTACAGAAAGGGTAGAGGGGGAGACACCGTCTTCTTAGATTCCAAAGCTCAAGGATCATTCTGACCCTGCTGAGTCCTCACCTGTGTCTTTGTTCTTGCTCTCCATTGTTGTCCTTAAAGGGCGCTGGAGCCTGGAGTTGCTGGGGCTTGGTTGGTTTCAGGTTCTCCTTCTCCTTATTTGAGCCCAAAGGCTGGAGAGGAAGGGCCCCATCCCAGCACTTCATGGGGCACCGCGTGCTCCTGGCCGTGTCCCCAAAGGCTCTGCAGTTCTTGCATTTCACCTGTGGGTGGAGGAGGAGGGTGGTCAGTGGGTCAGTTGCAGATTTCACAGGTTACTATAAGGACAGATCTTTGGAGTTAGATACCAGTTTGGGGGAGGGGACACAGACCCATGGTCTATTAGTTACAGGAAATTCAGGATATCATGGCTCTGTCTAGAGCCCTGAAGAGGAAGAACTTTTGTATCTAATGGTCATGATAATGAAACAGAGTTTGAAGACTGGACAAACACCAGCTGGACATGACACTGAATAGGGAATGAGGTCGCTCCTCAGAGGCTCTGAGTGGGCCAGTCAGCCAGGCGAGGAGACTCATACCAGCTCCGCCTTGGATAAGGAAGAACAACTGAGTTATAGACACACGTTTCCCTGTTTAAACCCACTCTCTGGGGTCCATGCACACCCGTAGGTTCTTGAAAGTTCCAGCCTCCACTTACCCCAGCTTCTTCCTCCTCTGCTAGGGGAGCCCTCTGCCCCACGGGCCTCCTCTGCTTCCCCGGGGTCTTGGCGTTAGAGGGTCTTTGAGGCTGATGATGTAGGTAATGACCTGCCACCTGCTTCACGTTGTTGGACTTCTTGTTAGTCTTGCTCATTAATTGATTGTTGGACTTCCTAGTCATAAGAAAAAGACCAAAAGAGTTGTGAAGACACAGGAAAAAAAAATCCCTCATACCCCTACTTCCACAGGAAGGATGGGAGGGACTCCCTGACCACTAAGTCCCACCCACCGTAATCTGATCTCCTCGTGAATTGATGTCCCATTGTGTGATCCTCTCCCAACATGACCTACTCCCAGAAGAGGACACTGCCTGAGGAAAGACCACTTGACTTATAGATGGAGGAATTAGATTTGCACCCTTGAGTAAAAGTATTCTGGGCTCTGATTTTTTGTCCAGTCACTCCCTCCAAGCATAAAGCCTCTAACAATATTTGTCAAAGCAAATAGACAGGCAGCCAACAGCTATTGATTTTTTTCCCTGCATATTTCTAGGAAATGCATTGTTTTTGCAGAGTGCGTTCTTAACTCAGAAAGCCTATCAGGTGCTCTGACAAAGCTTCGCAAAGCTCTGATGTTTCAGCTAATGAACACTTATGACATTTCCCATAAGACCCCATAACCACCTGCCTTTTCACAGAGGCATGCATAAAGCCACGCAAGGACCAGCAAGCTGAAGATGCCTGTGCGAGCTGACATATATCTGCAAATTCACACCAGGCAACTCAGAAATAACACCCTGTCATGGGGAGGGACACGTAGGACAGAAGCCTCCCCCGCAGTTCAGGCAGAAACCTAGAGCCCACACTCTGCCCCCTGGGAAATCCCTCCAGATCTGTCCTCATTTCTCCCTGGCATTTGTCTTACCTCTCCTCTTGGTCTCCACATCTTCCTGAAATTGCGTGCGTCGGGTCCACAGAAGGCTGACATTTTTTATCCGAGACACAGCGGGCTGTTGGATTCTCTCCTGGCATCAGAGGAAATCGTAGCAGAACCTCCACAGAAGCAAGAACTACATATTTCTCTGTCATCAAATCAATCTGATAAAGAGAATTGAGATACAATTGGAATTGAGATACAATTGCAATTCTGCAGGCAGGATGAAGTCTTGAGATACAGGAAGATACACTCCCAATTTCTCAAGTTTTTTAATGTACCGCTAAACCATCTGAAATTCCTTAATGACATAGCCCATGGAGAGTTTACTAATGACCTCCAATTGGCACCAAGGGCTGAAAGCCAGGAGTGTTAAGGAAATGCTGGTGTTCCCAGGTGGAAAGTGAGGGGCCACAGCACGGGCAAATACCCATGTCCATCCTCGGGGATCCCATGTCCTTTGCAGTTGGTCAGTGCTGTATATTAAGGTTTTTAAACACTGAATATCACCTCTGGTCATGGGAGGAGAACCTGCCTCAGCACTGGCCCTAGACTGTCCCATCCACGCCACACCCCACCCAGCTTCTCCCGTACTTACGTCTCTTTGGGGGATCCCACACTGCTTTAAGAGCTGCTTCCCCTGTTCCATGGAGAGAGTGTTGGGGTCCATTGGTATTGGTCCTGTGTGAGGGGTTCTGTTTCCCTGTGGAGGGTAGAAAATGAGACCACTGAATTCTCTGTCTCCCTGTACTCTCCCGCTTACGGGATGCAGTCAGCCCTCACTCTCCTCTGTGCCCACCATCGGAACTAGGACCCTGTCGTTCAAACTGCACACACATATCCTTCTCCTCCAAGTAACACAGTACCAATGTGAATGAAAAATATGGTGATAAATTAAAAAAACAAAACAAAAAGAACTTTGTTCACTAGACTTAGCTTGTTTGCTACATATGGAATGCAAAATTAGATATAACTACATTATTTGGCTTCTTTATGATATTAAGTACGTTTTAAACTACGAAACACATTCCTTGAAATTCCTTGATATCAAAAATGAGAGTCAGATGGAAATCATTAAGTGCTAAGAAAATAAAAGATAAAGCACTTTTATGTCCAAACTTATGAGCAGAGAAAAACCTGGGTTCAAGGGAAATGTCCTGGTCTACACGAACACATTATTGAAGAAAGATAAAATTTATAGGAGGTGCTCATCTTAAGAAATTAGAGACAGAAAGACAAAAGATTAGCAAATAAAGAGACAGATGAATCAAAAACTAAGTGGAAACTAATGGAAAAACAAGCAGAACACATTAGAAAAATGTGGTATTTCCTTGAAAACAGCAATAGAATACCTTTCCACAGACTGTCATAAACAGACGATGAAATTTATCATATAGATCATTGCCATGGAAACAGAAAAGAAAGGATCGGGGAATGCCACATCTAATTATTTGGCAAATGTATTTGTAAACCTAGAATGAGATATGCTTTCCTCTCAAAATTCAACTACCACAATTGAGAAGTGAGGAAGCATTTTTCAAGTACAAACTCAGGTAGAATAATTCTTGCCTCCACCATTGGACTGGGAGCTCACAGCTGAGATCTTGCTGGGTTTTATCTATCGGTTGAGGCTCATGGCCCTAAAATTTAACCAGCTCCTAATAAGCAGCGACGAGTACGTTGTAACAAAAAATAAGTGAAAAAATCACTTTCAATCTTTAAAACCTCCCCACAAAAGGCACCAGGTCTCCATAACTGCTATCCATCACCCTACTCAGATCAGGGTGCTGGGTGACCATTCCTCAGAAATTTTGACCTTTATCTAATAATTAACATTTCTGAAGTGTTTTTTAACCAGGCTGTGTCCTAATGAATACTTTTAAACAATTAACTAATCCTTAACTTAACACCTAAAAACATCCACTGGAGAGTTCTTTCTCTGTCACATTTCTTGTGTCGGGATAAACCAAGGCCCAAAATAGTAATGGAAACTAACGTGTTGTCGACTTTCCCGTCAGTAACTGCTCAGATGCGTGGACACAGGGCAAACTCTACTCCAGACCGTGAGGCTCCCAGGATGAATGAAGAGATGGACTGAGGAGAGGGTCCTTCTGCAGCTGGGCTTTATACTCTCCCCCGGACACTCCCCCTCCCACCCTAAACCAATGAACGTGATGCAATCACGGGTAATCTAATTATCTCTTCCTCTCCCGATTTGGTGTAATATTTTATTTAGCAATACTGTTCCTAGCACTTTCATTTTTATCACACTTGTGTACATCTGAAGCAATAATTTGGTATTTTTCATCCCTAGGATCTTTTGAAGTTTAACATATAACTATATACTTTTAACAATATATATACTATTTTCTGCATGTTTAAAATATTTATATTAATACATACGTCCACATACTGGCTGGTTCATTCTGCATCTTGCAGGGTGTGGGGTAGCTCAGTCTCCTGGGACAGGAAGCTCAGTGGCAACCAAGACTTTGGAGATGTCTCCAGGGAGCCAATGACAGTCAAGGTTTAAGAACAGCCTGGCTTACTATGTGTGCAGGCGTGGACTAGGTTGTCTGGTGTCCCTGTAAGGAGATGGGTCACCCAAATTCTCTGTTTATCCACTGAATCGGAGCCCAGCTCAGATGGGGAGAACTCCAAGAAGTCATCCATCACTTCCAGGCATGGCATCTGTGTTAGAACTGGTGGGATTTGCTTTTTAGCCCTGAGGGGAAGAGGAAGGCCAGCAGGCTTCCAGGGTGTGGACAGGAGCTCAGTGATTAAGAGGGATTTAGAGATCTCAGGATCCAGGGAGCAGCTGGGTATTGAGGACAGAGTGGCGCCTCGTCTCTCTGCAGAGACCAGGGGCTGAATAAGGAGATACGGGCATTTACAAGAATTCTCATGGAGGGATATCCAGATGTGGGGCCCCTCAGTCCTATTCAGGTGGGTCCTCACTTACAGGCTTTCTGAATCTGTCCTGTGACAAAGGACAGGAGGAGGTTGCCTTTTCCACATGTTGAGTTCCTTCTGCCTGTGGGTATGGTGATGGCATGGGGAAGAGTATACTGACGTCAAAAAGGCATAGTCTCGAAATACAGCTGTTATTTCTCAAGATAATCTCATCTGAGGAAGAAGCTCTGAGAATAAGGAGAAGAGAAGGATTAGGAGATGGGAATGGCTGGTTCCAGGTAAAAGTTCCATCCTAGGTCAATTGGTGTGTTCTCTCTTCCTCTAAAAACACCATGTTTTTGTTTTGGTTTGGTTTTGCCATCAATAAGAAATTTTCTCAGGTTTATTTACAATTGCTGTAAAATTGAATGGCTGAATCATGTTCTCTGAAACATTTTCACTTGAATTAATGCTTAATATGCACCCCGCACAGAATTATACTAGTATAAAAGTCACACACAAAGTTTCAGTGAGAAGAAATTAGTTTTCCAGATCTGTTGCACAATATGGTGACTGCAGTTAATAACAAAGTGTATTTCAGAATTGCTAAGAGAGTGAATTTCAAATGTTCTCACCACAAAAAATGATAAGTGGGTGAGTGGATGGATATTGAATGAGCCTGACTCAATCAATCCACATGTCAAAGCATTACAATGTACTCCATAAATATATACAATTATTATTTGTTAATTAAAAATTTTTAAAAATTAAAAATATTACACACAAAAAAAATGGAAAACTGCCAATGGCTGATTTCCGCACCATATTCTTCCACTCACGATCAAATACTTTTGACCCGATGGGGAAAAATATCTAAGGTTCAGAACTATCCATATGGGAGGAAGAAAAGTTTTTGTTTTTACAATGAAAAGTTTCCCATTCTAGTAGATTCTTAAGCACATTCTCCACATCTGCAGCATGCTGGCAAGATGCCTTTTGGCATAACTGTGGCATGGTTGGCACAAGGGTTGCTATCTTTAAAAGCCCTGACTTCGGCATTATTCAGTTCATCCATGTAACATAAACACTTGTACCCTCTTTAGCTTTTAAAATTTAAAAAGTAAATTAAAAAGAAAAAAGCGCCAACCGGATAGACCTCGCTTACCTCCTGCGAAGCACCAATAGCTGTGCCCTGGACGCGCACATTTGTTTGGAAGCCCTAAGCAATTTCACGCACCAAATGCTGGAAGGGAAGTTTGCAAATCAGACATTGTGGATTTCTAGTAACATTTAATTTCAGGGAGTGCCGCGGCACCAAGAGTGCGCGGCACCAGGTCGGTAAGGAGGAGGTTTCTTCACCCCTCCAGGAGAGGGCGCACTCCAGCGAGGGATTTTGTAGCCAGTTGCTTCCTGGCTACTTTCTCACCGGGAGATTTGCCGGCGTGTGCGCGGAGGGGCAGAGTCCTTGCTTCAGCCGAAGGTCTGCAGTTTACCAGACGTCGCCAGGCTACTGCTGCGAATGCAACACGACCACATTTCTAGAACTTAAATATCCTTACTTCTCTGCCTCTGGTGTTAGTGCCTAATGCGTTGTTTTAAACTAGTGTACTTTGCTTCAAGGTGGCTCACGTGAAAACAAAAATAGATTATCCTCGTGATTTGACACATTCATATAAAAGCACTTAGAATGACATCCGGTGTATAGTAAATATTAAAAAGTTTTGTCCTTCTTACTGCTGTGTTAAACCCTCTTATTTCTCGAAAGTTCCTTGATTACAAAGTCATACATTGACAATTTCCTCAGTCTTTTAGCGCCTAGTCACTCGAAGTGTGGTCCACAGATAAGCAACACTGGCGTCACTGGAGATCTCGAAATGGAGAATCTCAGGTCCCGCCCCAAACCCATAAATAAGTATCTACGTTTTAACAAGATCTCCAAGTAATTTTTACATACATGAAAATTTCAGAAGTGCACCTCTAACCCTAATCCCTCTTAAGAAACATGCAATGCTTACTGCCCATGATAAAAGTAAATAGCACTTAGATATATAGGAAGGCAGATAATGGAGACACAGATATCTATATCGCTTCCATGTCTGTGTGGTTTTTGTTCTCCAAAAATGTCATACTGACATCAGTCCTCTTCCCTTTAGTGTCTAGAACTAAATTAAAGAATGTTATTTCCTTAAAACATAGTCTGACTGAACCCATCAGATCACTCATGTCAACAAGAATCAGTTCTTACAACTCTTTCCATTCATCTTTGGACAATTTTATTTTATTTATGTATTTTTTATTTCAGGGTATTATGAGGGTACAAACGTTTCGGTTACATTTTATGTCTTTGCCTCACCCAGGCGAGGGTTAGAGGCTCGCCCTTCCCCTCTGCAATGCTCCCCGTGTCCTTTAGTTGTGAGTTTACCCCCCATCCCCGTAATGCCTGCAGAATATTACTGCCATGTGAGCACCCTAGTGTTAATCGGTTAGTGCCAATTTGATGGCGAGTACAAGTGGAGCCCATTCTTCTGATCTTGTGATACCTCACTTCGCATGATGGGCTCGAGTTCAATTCAGGAAAATAGCAGAGGTGCTGGATCACTGTCATTTCTTATAACTGAATAATACAGCTTTGGACAACTTTAAATCCCTCCCCTGGAATCACTGGTGAAATGTGTTTTTACTTCAGGAAATTGTGTCCTTCAGAATTTTATGTCTCGAGAGGAGCGGGAAGGCCTGGGCTCTGTTGAACCCTAAATCGAGGTGAAGCAGGCAGGAGTA